TACGGCTTATCAGACAAAACTGCAAGAAGTGCTAAGAGCATTTCTGATGCCTCTCTCCATTCCCATGGTACCACTCAACTCCACCGGGCCCCATCAACCACACTTAGAAGAACGAGGGGGATGAGGGCTAGAAAAGACTGGCGAAGCAACAAAGACAGAATGGGATGCAGGGATGAGAAAGAGGAAAGACTGTTCTCTTGTCTTTGGATAACCACTTCATATTCCCTGGTGGGAGACAACAATGCAGCCTCAACCCAAACACGTAATCTACAGTAGTCCACATGTGTTCTCACAGGCTGAGCCCAGTTCAGACAGTTTAGTGGTCACCCTCTTCCTGGCCTAATCCCAAGACATTTCTGTGACATGAAAATATGCATTGATGAGAAATTTGCACATCATGAGCCTGATTCCTCCAAACAATGGATATCTTTGATCACATTTCCTGACAACTGTGTAAAAGCCCCATTTTACCACGTCATACCTTTAATGCACAAAGGCAATATTTTGTGTCACATGTATGCAACTAACAATTATTTTCATTCTTGATTAATCTGTCGACCATTTTCTCTATTAATCGATTAGTTGTTTGGTCCATAAAATGTGGTGAGAAGTGGTAAAAAATGTTGATCACTGTTTCCTAAAGCCCAAGGTGACATCCTCCAATGTCTGTGTTTTGTCCACAGATAAATGACATTCAGTTTACTGTCATAGAGGACTGAAGAAACCAGGTAATAATCACATTTGAAGCTGAAATCAGACATTTTTGGAAAATTACTCAAAATGATTAAACAATAGTTGATTATTCATTTAATAGTCGATAACTAATCGACTAATTGTTGCAGCTCTAGATTCAGGACCAAGATTGTGTCAAATTTGAAATAACCATAAACATAAGTTGCCTTACTTACACTGTACACATGGGCATAAGAACTATAATTTCTGAATGGAACAAAGCACATAATGACCCTACTGACACTACATGATCAACCAAGTTATGGTGGAGGAGGGCCACCTCACTTGAAACAGACCTCCTCTATTGACATGATGACACATTTATATGAAATAAACACTGCGGCTACTGTTTGGACCGTCATCTGCTTACGAAATTGATCAAGATGTTTCAGGCTTAACATCCAAGCAAAGCAATTTCCTGAGAAAAATCCCAATCAACACCTCTGAAATCTATTATTTTCGGAATCTGTCTGTTCTTGTCCTAGCTTTCTGAAAGACTTTTAGAAATGCCAGAGATATCAGATTAATCTTAAATACACAAACCCCTTTAGTGAAACAGCACCTTTCTCAAAAAAAAAGGTCGAACCAGGAGATGAGCAACCAAGAAAATTCAACTGAACTTCAGAATTCATTTAAGCTTGACGTCCAAAAACTGTTGGCAGTGGTTGCACTTTTCACAGTCATCAGTTATCATCAGATTTGGTGCGTCCTTGTTTGGGTAATTTAGTGTGAAGCAGAACAGTTTTGCCTGGCAAGTAAAATTCAAGAGAATCACAGACCAGCCCAGACCTTACAGAGCCTCCAGCCCCGCCTGCCACACAACAGTACGCAGTGAAATCAAGGCGCTCACTGTATTTTCCAACCTGCTTTGATTAGTCTTTGTTATAAGGGACTCCCATCCATCCACCCACACACACACATAGTTCACCGCTAGCCAAGTGAAAACGTTGGCACTAAAACTGAAAAGTACAATAGAGTAATAAATCTTCTATCACTGAAAGCTACTGGAGTGAGAAATGTTTGAACAGAGATTCTGCTAAGCTCCTGTTGACTACAAACAAAGAAAAAGTACAGTTTTGGTGAGCAGGCGGACAAACTGATCTGCCAACCAAGCAGGTGGTACAGTAAGATGGACACTGGGTGGCCCTATAAGAGACATTAAGCTTATATACCTGCATAGTTTCCGTCTAACCAAGCTAATCAAATTAGACATTGCTCCAGTCTCCCTCGCTGTAAATGGACCCTGATCCATGGAGTTGGAGCAACACTGGGAGCCAGACCCTCCCTTGTGTGCCGACACCCTAATGAGTTTCATGTGAGGGGCATTAAAACGGCTGCTAGACCAGTGAAACTGACTGGAGCTGGCAGAGGAGCAATCTGTGATCCAGTCACAACAGACACACACACACACACACACACAAGTGATATAAAGCCAAGCGGAGTTTTGTTTGATATTTAAATACAGGGCCATTTAAACATTATTTCCATTTCTATTGACATTAAAGTAATTATATCAGAGCTCTTGTATATTTTAAACAGAACATTAAGTTTTTTTTTTACTAAAATATCTAGATACAAATGTCTACTTCATGAATATGTTTTGCCATTTTTGAGCCAAATTGTAGGTTGTGCGTAAAAACACAATTATGATGAACCAAATAGGCTTGTTTGTGATTTCTTTAAATGACAATCCCACACTCTGATGGTAACTTCATTATGCAGTGGGTAATTTCAGCCGAGCAGTTTTACAACCCCCAAACACTTAACCAGAGAGTTGGAACAATTCCACATCAGCCTAATTAGCCGCCCTACCATTTAATATTACATCTTACAAGCTCGACACTATCATAACGGCAATGAGGAAGCGAGAAATAACATCTCTGTGATGCAAGACAGATGGATCATGTGTAAAATAAAGATATCTAACTGACATTACATACTAGAAAACACAACTTATTGAAGAATGGAAAATGGAGAAACTAATTATTAACTTAGTATCAAAGTTTGACACTGAGGATAGGGCCAGAGGAGCCCATGTTGTTACAGAAATCAAAAGTATCTTCAGTACTTCAGTCTGAAGGCACAGCTAAGGTAAGAGGTATCCCTGTCCTAAAGTGAAGTGTTGAACAAGATTTCACCTGTTGGTGGCGCTGGCTGTAAAGATGTCAGACAGTATCTGTGATACGTGCTATCAGCAGACGTGCATCTGAAGGCAGTGTGTGCATTAGCTTCAACTCTTGTCACTTGGATATTTGTACATGCAAACCAAGCTTAACATACATCACCTGACCAGCTGCTAATAACAACTCCACCGTCTTACATAAGAGTCTTTCTTCAGTTATCATAACAAACACAGGAGCATATCACACACACACACACACACACACACACACACACACACACACACACCCCAGTGAGGATGGACGAAGAACAACTTTTACAACAACTAGAAGGAAATGTTGTGATTTTTTAATAGACAAGAGTCATGTGTTAACACTAAGCAGCAAGTAACCTTTGATCTGATATAACTGCAGCAGGACATTCAAACATAGAGACAATGATGCACAAAGAAATACAAAATATTGATGCACCGATGCAGGCCTCTCTGTCTCTCTCTCACTGCTATTTGTTGGCACTCGCTCTGACTGTACTTGTCGTGGGGCCAGCATGCCACAGGCCACAGTTGCGTAATGACAGAGACAGAGAGCTAACTTACAGACATTGCATTCATTCAGCAAAGGGGCCTGTCTGGAGCAAAGATTTAGCTGTAGGTCGATCACAGATTGGAAATACAAAAGGGTAAAAGCACAATGAGCACTGCTGCTGCAGAGTGCAGCGGTGGACCAAAGCCCATTAATACAGTCAGGTGACCGGAGTGCAGGCTAATGGTCAATGGACGCATGGTGACGCAACCTCTAAATCTTTTCCTCCTCACTGCATCTGGGTGTAAACACCATCACGTGGTAGAGAGAGGGAGAACGGACCAGGAGCAAATCACGAAAGACAAAATAATGAAAAGGGAATGAAAGAAGAAAAGACAAATAGACAAGGGTCATATGAGAGATAGAACAGATAGTTATTACCCTGCAAACAAAGAGAACAGATTCAAAACATGGACAACTGGAGAGATGTGGACACACTCACGCAGACTGCAATCCAATCTCCAAAGGATCACAAAACAGCTCTTTATGACTATTGCCCCATAAGCTTCTTATTATTTTGTTGTGATGGATGTCTGCTCTCATTTTATGTTTTCCATTTGAACTGTCAGTCAGTTTCCAGAAAACAGGAAGGCTAGTGAGCCTGTGCTGCTGACCCCGACAGTCCCAGCACAAAGGGGGAGCCTGTTAGAGAGCTGGGCTTGTCTTCTATTCACCAATCCCAATCTGTGTCTGCTTCTCTCACAACGCTCAGCATTTTCCCACTTAACATTTTTGAATATGGTTGAGAATGTGAGACACACAATCACTTTTCAAGAAAACTAAGGGCTATTTTGGGGTCATTCTGGAGACCCACAGTCTGAAGCCCCGGCATCCACTCAGCTGAAGTGTCCCTGAGCAAGATGCTGAATCACTGCCAGCTTACACTGATCCTGACCTCTGCCTCCTTCGGATCAGGGCAAATGAAAAGACAAATTCCCCACATGCATCCATCATCCCCAGCGGGAGGCGCATTTGACTGAACTGTCCCTTTAAGTTTGAAAGCTGCTACGTGTCTGGACGAACCAGCAGCCCGGTGTTTCTGCCCAGTCTTGCACTTGTTGTTGGCGTTAAGCAGAACACGTCTGGCACCTGCTCGCTTCGCCAGCATCACCATTTATCAAGCCACAATAAAGGCGGAGGGCAGCGCTTTGGCACCGCGCCCCGAGTGCGTAAATTGGCCGCGCAGAGCAGAGGTTGACGGCGCGGACACTAATGCAGGTTTAACTTTGGGTAAAAATGTGTTTTGTGCCACACACTGCCAAAAGCTTATCACATTCGGTTGTGCATGTGGTTAAATGAAATGAGGCAAACTATGCTGAAGTTGCAGGTGTTGCTCCAGCCTCATGCATTCTGTTGTTATGATTGCTGTCATCATCAATATCATCATCAATATCAGCCACCCGAACCACCTTTTTAATTGGAAATACTAAACAATAATTAAAGTGAGGAAAGTCTCACCCAAAAAGGGGGACATGCGCTTTTTAAAAAAAATCACTTCAGCTTTGATCATCACCAATGATGCCCTCATGAGTTCTTGTTTTCCTCCGCTTTGTCGGTTGCACTCACCTTCCAGTCCGCCCAGGGTCGCTGCCCAGGAGGCTCCGCACAGCAGGCACAGCACCGGGAGCAGGATCAACATCGCACCGACAGGATGATTCATGATTCGGCTCCTGACCAGGTCCAGGAGGGAGGTGGAGGTCCGTCCGATCTGATTTCAACACCAAAGTCCCGGACTCGTGGTTTCAGCTGCGATGCATCCTGATCCTGATCCGGGTTTCACAGATTTCTCTGAGTTCAAAAAGGCGCAGGGCTCAGTCCAAAACAATTATAAATAAGTTGGAGGTTGTTTCAAAGTGAAATAAATGCTTACTTAGTTATTTTGTTCTGTTATTCTGCTACAGGTTACTGCTTTCACCCTGGCTATAATCTGCACAAAGCGCACTGAAGTGCATACATACGCACAGCCTAATGTGAGGGCTGAATTATCCACTGAAGGAAAGCTAAATGCGGAGAACCAGAAGATAAAATATTGTAGTAATATTTTTTTATGTATTCCAGACACAAACTGTGTGTCAAAGTAATCCAAAGTAGCGTCCTCTCTTGCAGGAATAATGTCCGGTGTCCTGGGTTATAATGGGCTTGAAGGCTCGCTCTTATCCCCGCTCTGTGCCCCGGTGTCGCCGAGTCTGTCCCGCTGCTACAAATAAAACCTCCGCTCGCCTTCAGTTGCAAATTATTTCAGGAAATTAAAGCACGAAAATGTCCGGAAGTGTTAGGTCCGTGAAAAAAAAAACAAGATTCGGAGCGCGCGCTGTGTCGCTGGAGCTCGAGCGCTGGCACGGGTGCACACAGTGATACGGAGGCTACTGACCGGCTCGAGGATGTGCTGCTGTAAAGCTCGAGCGCTGACAGTGTACGAGCCAACCAAGACGGGCCCCGCCCTCCGGATAAGGCAGCGGGAGAGAATACAACAGGTAAACCGGCAGGTGCAGGCAGGACGATATTTATATCCTCAAAAACTCTACAAGTGATTCATATCAAACTTCTGAGTAAACTGGAGCCGTTTTATGAGAGTTTCTTTGGAATTATGGGTTCATTTCATGTGTGGAAATGAAAAGCAGTGGGGTCAGAGAGTCCTTCCCACTGCGAACACTACACTACTATTGTGGAGCTGCAAAAATTAAATAACTGGATATATTATTCTCACGGTTTTTTTACAGGAGCCATTTTGACATGAGATTGTAGGGTAAACACAGGTGTTAGCAATGATACTAATTAAGGTTCAGTTCCATTCAACTGGAACTGAACCAGTCAAACAGAGTGAGGATGCTGCTGTTGCACACTGGCTCACTGCTAAATGGAAGGGAACCGTAATTAGTATCATTGGTAACACCTGTGTTTACCCTACAATCTCATGTCAAAACGGCTGCTGTAAAAAAGGTCTGTAGTGCAATGTGTAGTAGAGCTGATATAACATGCCGATATAGCTGCTAATATCGGCCTTTTGCGGATATACTGTGTATTAACAATAAAATGTACCACTCGGTGCTCTTGGTCACAATTGGTTTTATTTATATTATTTCAGAAAATCTTATTAAAACTGATTTTGTTTTAGTATGGCCCCCAAAAGCCAGTATTGGTAAGATAATATATAATATGAGCTACTTTACTGCCTTAATTGGTATTACAAGGTTGCCTCAGACTGAACTGAATGGCCCTCACTATGAATACTGTTAAAATATTGGAGGTAGAAAAACTCCCTGTGAGGGGGGAAATGGCGTAAAAAGTTCTACCGGAGATTGTGAAGAAAAAGTACAGGAAATAGAGTTAACACCATTATTCATTAGTTAACCATTCAAAATATCAATTTAAAGAATGTACATTTGACCATGAATGTTCCCTCTGCTCCTTTTAATTCTGCTCCTGTGGTCTGGCTTCCTTAATCCATCTGTCAGTCATCTGACATCACTGGGGGGGCGGGGCGTTTAAAGTAAAGATGATTAAACAGTAGATGTGAGGTCAATGGTCTGCAGGCTTTAACCACACTAATAATCCACAGAGAGGTTGTTTTCTGCCATGTGCTGTTAATTTGCCTTGACATTAACTTCTTCAGTACTTCAAAAACATAAATCAATGTGATTTAAGGTGGTGGTGTCACACAGTTATTTGAAAAACAATAAACTGCAGCCTCTTTAGTTTAAAAATTACCCAAGCCTGTGTTGTAATGTTAATATTAATTGTGCAACAGCCATAACTGCAGAACTGAAAGCACTCTCCTTCCTGCCCCCTCTCTCTTTCCCCAAGGAGGAAAGCAGGGACGGCTGGCAGTCCTGACCGGCTGATTTCACGGGGCGGGGGTGCAGACATGTACCCCGACTCCCGAACAAAAGGGAGGGGTCACAGAGGAGCCTGGATTAAAGGATTTGGTAGATGAGGAGGGGGAAGGAGGAGGAGGACAGGGGTCAGAGGTGAGGTAGCGTTGATAAAGAAAAGCCAAATGGAGCAAAGAAGTGAGCGGCGCCGTCTCTAATCGAGCCTGATTAAGCTCACACTGTGCATGTCTCATCTTTGCGCGGCCACTGACTTTTGAACGACTAAGCATCACTCAGAATCACAATGAACGTCTTCATCAGTGGCAGTTGTAGCGGCCGTTGGAGATGAGGGCAATTTAAAAGCCCCCTACGCCTTTACCCATGACTTCTAGGTGGCTAGTATATTTATCAATGTCAGTGTGGAGGTCCAGATCTGTCTGGGTCAGTTACTGTTTAGACTGACTGCAGCGCATCTGGCATGAAGCAAATAACACACAATGACATTTTGATTCAGGAAGTATGACTTGAATGTCTTCTGTAGAAATATATCAAACTCATTTGAGCTGAACTGCTACCCCCTTCAGGACAGGTGAAGCAAGTGCTTAAAAAAAAAAGATGCAACATAATGCACTGGATTGTAAATTTCCAACAGAAGGTTTCAGTAAAGCAGACACAAAGACAAAGCGAGATGCACAGACAGTCAGATTGATTGAAGCCTTCAAACCACTGCACACAGCCTGGTTCAAATAGAAACACCAAATCTGCATAAACTGGGCATCGAGATTGGCATAAATTAACCAGAAGCACCAACCACAGAGGAGTATGGCCTTAAAGGGATTGCCACGGCTGCTTATCTGTCCCCGCACATTAATATTCAGACCCTGATGTAAGGAAGCTGCAATCCGTGACCCTGCACTCCTTCGGTTAATGTTTGTGTCAGTGTGCATGCCTGTCTGTGCTTTGTCACAGTCTGTAAATGTGTCTCCGTGGTTGTACAGTATGTGTGTGCATGCTTGCAAGCATATGTGCACATATCTTCTTTTTTTCCCCTTTTTTTTTTCTACAGATTTTGATGTGTGTCAGCCAAGATCAAGACACTGGGTTAGGCCAAAGGTTTTATATTATGTGCGTATTTGTGCATGAGTGTGTATGTGTGTGTGTGACTAATGGTTGGGGACCACTGGTTGAGCTGGGGGGATTGTTATGGGTGAAGAGCATGACAGAGAAGAAAATCCGACAGAGGAAAGAGATGGAGAGAGACAGACGAGCCACCACCTCCAGCAAATGTAATTATATGGCTCAGAATCAGTGATCAGCTTTAGGCCAGGCAAGCACACACACACACACACACACACACACACACACACACACACGCTTGTGACATTGACCTTGTCCTTGGACATGAGGACAGGGGAGCAGTGACTTTGTTAAAAAAAAGATGAAAATGTTGTTTGTTGTGAAAGTCTGTCCTGGAATAAATCTGGTGACTGTGTGACTGATCTGTGTGCTCGGTAAGTGATGCATGCAGTCATGGATTTTAATTCTGTTCTCCCATTTAATCAGTAAGAGCCTGTGTAAGTGTGTGTGTGTGTGTGTGTGTGTGTATGTGTGTGAGGGGGGGGCGGGTCATAAAAGACAGGGGGCTTCTGCCCTGAGGAGCAGAGGGGCCACATGCACTCACACACACACACACACAAAAACACTCATTTAGTTAAGAGCTTTCATTTCCCTAATTAAACCAAAGATATAGTGTACCCTGATTTTCTGTCTCCCTATCTCTCTCTCTCTCTCCCCCTGCGCCCTCAAAGCTCTCTTGCCCCCTATGTCCCCCTTCACTCTTACCACCTCTCCTACTGCATCTGCGCACATTTCCCACCTCCTTCCCTCTAAATCTATCAATCAAGAAATCTAAGGCACTGCGTAAAACCACGGAGCAGAAATCCTGTGCACAATGTGAGCACTGCACCCAGAATGTCTGACTAAAACAGATTACGGGGCGAACGTGGGGTCAATCACCACCCTGTGTGATTTTCACTACTTGGTGTTCGTATCGCAGCTGGCTGGTTGCCAACTGATTTACCCCCCATCCCTCACCTCTGCTGAGGAGGAAATGGAACAAACAGCCCAAAACCTTTTCCACTAATCCCCCAACAATGGATTCTGCTGTTTTATTGAGGGCGGAGATGGAAGGTTATTCAGGCAGTGGGTCTGAGCGGTTGTATTGAGCCCAGGTAAGCCTGGAGATTTGGATCAACGCTCAAGTTAAAGCATTTGATTAGTTTCATTCCACCCAAATGATCCATGAGTATGTGTGTTATTGTCCAGGTTACTTAAGATATACAGAAATATTAACCTGCCACTTGATGGAAGATTTCACAAGGTGGATGATCAGCCCTCATATTACACTACATATGTTTAACCTATACATTGATTCAACTATTCCTGCTTTTGTTATACAGTGGATTCCTTTTAACATAGAGGGGATGTAGCTCAGTGGTAGAGCGCATGCTTTGCATGTATGAGGTCTTGGGTTCAATCCCCAGCATCTCCACCTCTTGCCTACAGAGGAGCTAACATGCTTCCAGGGTTTTGAACTCCTTTGGGTCACTAAATACTACATCAGACAGGATGTTCAAGGTAGTAAAGCCTTTCAACAAAAAATAAGTAAGAACAGCAGCTCCTCTTGTAAAGAATGCAATGCTGAATTCAAAACATCTTTAGCTGGAATATCCTTCAGCAAGCTTACCGCTCTCTTACTTCTCAGTTTGTACATCTTTGTTTCCTTACCAGGCAGTTAACAAAATAAGACATCCTTCCTTCGGAGCCGTCATTTTAAAGCAACCTCAATTAGATATGACATGTAGCGCAGCTGGATCATCTGTCCATTGTCATTCATTTTAGGACTTGAGACGAGCCTTCAAGGTGGCACGTTGAGTTTTTTTCAAGGTCACAGACAGGAGGAAGAGAGCCCTTTGTTATTTTCCATATGATGTTTTCAACTGCCACATACACAGTGGTATTATGATTGTGTATATACATGTAGTAATATAAAACACATGTGTTTGGTTAGGGTTACACGCCACAACAACGACTTTAGGGAACATCATGGTTTGGGTTAAAATTACTGCTTTGTTAATGTTTGGGGAGCTGTGTTGTCATGGTAAAAGTGTCTGGGTGTGACAGTGCTTAAAAAACACTTTCCTGTCCGTGCATTCACCAGAGCTGGGAGGTGATTAGCCCAGCTTAGCATGAAGAGTGGATGCAGGGAGAAACAGCAAGCCTGGCTCGGTCCAAAGGTAAAAAATATGACTAACAGCACCTTTAAAGTTCACCAACTAACTTGTTTCATCATGTTCTTTTCAGCTTCCTCAAAGTATCATGTCAGAAATTCTAACCTGCCAGCAGAGAGTTTTTCAATAGAACCATATGAAATTTCACAGAGTGGAAGGAAAGCAAGTGAATCTGCAATATTTCACTACATGTTAGTGGTTTCAATAATAACGAATGGGTTCATTAATCTTCCTCAGAAAGATGAAGACATTGAGACCACCTCCTGTAATTT